TCTCTCTCTCTCTCTCTCTCTCTCTCTCTCTCTCTCTCTCTCTCGTTGCACCAAAAATGAATTTTACCACATCCATAGCAGTGTGATGCTTTACACTGCAATGAAGGGAGAGTTGAGTTATATTCCTAATGAGTCCATTTACCTAGATGATAAAATGCCTAAGGTAAAATGTCGAGCCACAATGCGATGACCCTAAATTTTTGGAACTGCAAAACAATAATAATAATAATAATAATAATAATAATAATGACATAAAATACCAATATAAAAGAATAGTTTTGAGTGATAGTTCATTGTGATAAGAATACACCATCGGATCATTCTTTTACAAAACTTCTCATTTCCACGATTTTTTTAAGAAGAATACTTAATTAAGATGATAGGGTATAAGGTGGCATTATAAAATAATAATATGAGGTGATGTGACATTATAAGACAATAATATGAGGTGATGTGTCACGAGGTGGCACATAAAAGTGAGAAGTTAACAAAAAAAAGACACATAATTTGACATGCGTCAAGTGGAGGAGTGTCCTCCCTCATTTTTAAATATCCTTCTCCCCTCATGAACTAATAATCATTATGTTCATCAAGTTTTTCCATCTCTCTTCCATACGTAAGTCCTCTCTCTTATAATATTCTCTCTCATAAGATCTCATGAATTATTCCTCTCTCTGATATAATATTCTCTCTTATAAGATCGCATGTAATATTCCTCTCTCGCTCACAATGGTTTCATTATGATAAGAATTATTCCTCCCTCTCATATAATATTCTTTCTCATAAGATCTCATGCATTATTCCTCTCTCATAATATTCTCATGAAGATAGTATTATTCTCATGATGATAGTATCATTATTCTCATAATGATAATGTTTTTATAAAAATAGTATTTTTCACTTGCTCATAATATTCCCATGAAGATAATATTATTTTCATAATGATAGTATTATTCTCATAATGATTGTATCATTATTCTCATAATGATAATGTTCTCATAAAAATAGCATTTTTCTCTTGCTCATAATATTCTCATGAAGACAATATTATTCTCATAATAATGTTTCTCTCTCACATACTCTTTTCTTTCATCCTTCTTTCTTGTAAAATATCCATGCTCCCTCTCCCCATATAAACTCATTTGGTCTCTCTTCTCATACATTTAGATGAACGCCATTGATCTCAGTCTTACTCTAGCGACAGCAACAACATACCCATCTCGTGACATATAAATGTAAGTGATCTCATTTTCCTGTAAAATAGTTATATAAACACTGGTATTTTTGTATTTAAGTGTAATATTTCCGTCTATCAGTATGAATTTTAGATACTTAAGTGTTATGTACAAGTGGTCATATTTTCCTGTAAAACCTTTTAATTAAATTACAATATTTCCATCTGTGAATTTTAAACGCTATAAGTTTACGTGTTCCTGTAACATGATTATTTGAAAGCAATTTGTATTTCCGTATTTAATAAAATTGTGATATTTCCGTCTATTGTTTAGGATTTTAGATAGTTAAAAATTCAGTATTTAACTATGGATTTCCATAAGAGTTCTTCTATTGTCAATAGATTGCTTATCATGTTAAATTTCAATAATGTCTCTCAGAACTGCTATCTTTCTGAAACTATAAGCCAAAAATATTTGACTGGTTATTTATGAAAATGTCAATGAAAGTGATTGCTATAAAATTACTTCATGTGAATTCATGGTAATGATTTCAAGGATATATTGAATATGTGATATTTTTGTTTTTTGATAATTAATGATAAAGAGTTTCAGAGATATTTTAAGTATACAAGTGGACCTATCCGGTACGTCGGTAAGGAATAAGTGGACTCATTTGGTACACCGGTGAGGTATAAGTAGACCTATCTGGTACGTTTATGTTGGTAGGGATTAAGTGGACTCATTCGGTACGCCGGTGAGGTATAAGTGGACCTATCCGGTACGCTGAAAGGGATTAAGTGGCTCATCTGGTACGCCGGTGAGGTATGAATAGACCTATCCGGTACGCCGGTAGGGATTAAGTGAATCGAGTTTCCTTAGTTCCGATAAATAGTTTCTAAAGATGTGTTGAATTGAGATTCCGAAATTAAGGAATCGAGTTTCCTTGGTTCTGAAAAAAGGTTCTAAAGATGTGTCGGATCGATATTCTGAAGTTAAGGAATTGAGCTTCTTTGGTTCCGCAAAAAGGTTTCCATGGAGATTCCTTAATGAAAATGAGGAATCAGGTTTCGGAACCGAAAACACGAGATCAATGGAGAGATTCCGGTAACTATGTCTCAAACCCTGAACCTAAAAAAAGAATTGCCTAATGAGCTTCCCAACTCAAAATATTCAGCAAAGCCAGAAGATTACAGTGTGTCATCGATCGAGTAATCAAGTGTGGAGGTACCAAGTCCTAAGCAGGTGACCTTAGGCAAAGTCAAGTAAGTCTTCCCAATATTGCTCATTTATTTCATTTTTTAGGAACATTATTTGTATTAAAATTTAAAGTTAAAGCTTGTTATTAGTCCTAGATTAGTTATTTTTGCTTGGCGGTGAAAAGAAGATCACAGGTTGTATCAAGGGCTTTTTGTTTTTCTTAGTTACAGCATTGCATAGTCGCACTTGTAAGTAAAATCCATATATATTAAGAAAAAAAAAAGATTTTTATTTTACTATTTGGAATTCCACCTAGCCGCTTCTTTCAAATATGTGTATGCATTCACATGGGGATAGAACCAACCTCATATCTTATTTAGTCTCTCCATTCCAAAGCTTATCGAAATTTAATGCTGCACGAAAATGTTTGTTTCAGGTTTCACGTATAACACTTCGTAAATCAAGCGCATAAATCTTGAGTTTTAATGTCCTAGATATTGAAGTTTTAACACTTCTATGCATAATCATTTTACATGTTACATAAGTGCACTGTATTCAGTTATCAAAAGAGAAAAGAATACCCAAAAAACTTATGTGAAAACCAGAACAAACATATTTAAGTTTTTCATTGAGATGCAGCTACCCGATATTCTAGCTGTAATACAAAAACTATACGTCAATCTCCTCAAGATATTGTTGTTGGTTATTTTACTAACCTTTATTGTGGTTCCAAAACAAACAAGTTTCGATTTAGTTCTGCATCCGTATATTTTAAACCTTCTCGAGGTGGGATGATTACCTATCATCATCATCATCATAATCTTGGTCCGTCATTCTGCTCCATCAAGGGTCATACCCTTAGAGAGGCTATAAGTCGTCATATCTTTCTCACTACTTCTAATAATTTCCTTTTGGGCCTACCCCTTGCCCTTTTTGAGCCTTCCACTTGAACCAACTCGCACCTCCAAACAGTGTTGTACCGGGTCTGCACTGCACATGGCTAACCCACCTGAATCTATTTTCTATCATCTTATCACCTATTAGAGCCACACCTAAGCTCTCCCGGATTTATTCATTTCGAATTCTATCACTTCTTGTCTTGCCACTCATCCGTCTCAACATCCTCATCTCAACTACATTTATTCAATAGATATAATGTTCCTTGACCACCCAACATTTCATGTAAAGCTCGTCTCACAGCTGTCCTGTAGAACTTCCCCTTCAACTTCATTGGTATGCGGCGATCACATAAGATTTTGGTTGTACATCTCCACCTCACCTATCCAGCTCTAATTCTATGTTCGACATCTGCTTCAATTTCTCTATTTTCCTTGATTATCGACCCAAATATCAAAAACGTGCTCTTTTTTTTATTTCTTGGCTATCAATCTTAACTAGTTCCTCGTCTCTACTCCAATTATTACTAAATTTGCATTCCATATGCTCTGTCTTAGTCCAGCTAATTTTAAAACCTTTAGATTCTAGAGTATCCCTCTAAAGTTCTAACTTTGTGTTGACGCCGCTTCGGGTCCTATCAATCAAAACTATGCCGTCCATGAACAACATACATCACGATACCTCATCTTGTAGGTGCCTAGTTAAATCGTTCATAACTAGGCCAAAGAGGTATGGGCTCAACGCTGACCCTTGATGTAGACCGTGGGATGATTACATATCCTTCCTCCAAATTCCAACAACAAGACTGATGCACATTATACTTGATTGTGTATGGTTCTAAGGACCTTAGGTTAATGAGAGAGCAGTCCCTCTATCAGCTACCTAAACTAAAGGTCTTCGTAATGGTTTCCAAATGGTGTGGTGCATTTGTTGTTTTGAGCTGTTATCTTTGCCTATGGTGAATCAGAACACAGACTCAAAACAGCCTGTATGTTCATCAATAGGCCTCTGACCATAGTGACAGCTTTGCTTAAAGAAGATGACACACATTGCTCATCTAAACTGGTCCCCGATTTGCCTGCTGTGTTGTTACCTGTGCAATCGAATCAACAGTAATGGTTTACCAGAAATACTCCAATATGTGTTAGTATCATGACTGAGAATTGCATTCAAGCTTGCAAATTTGGTCATTCCCCACTGGGTAAAATGATGCTTGGTTATCCAGAGAAGATTAGGTTATGGTATGGGTCATAGTCAAATCAAAGTGAGGGAATCCCTTTTGGCCAAATCACATATGCTATTCACCTAAGTCAACAGTCTAAAACGAGTTGCCACCCATAGCAAAGTTAAGTCAACAGACTAAAACCAGTTGCCGTAGATAGCAAAATTACAAAACAGTGAAACCCAGACCTTCGTTCAAAGTAACACTGAAGTTGGATCCTGCCTAATGCACTTGCATTCGGTCTTAGGCAACTAAATTTTGCTGCATGTTGTCACTTCTCCATCTGCTCATTGTCTTCCTTTATTCATCGGAACACATCATATAAGTTACCAGCAACTGTTGACTGCTCTTACTCACGATTTTACCTTACCACTAGCAATAGAAGGGTTGCCAAACTACGGGGGATGTCACTTTCATAACCCATATTTGCTTCACCATAGGCTGGCAATAGGTTCCTACATCTAGTCAACACTACAGTCGATAGGCATCCGAAGAATGACCCAGTCTCTAGCAAGTCATGCAATACTTCAGGAGTTACTCATTTATAACTTGTTCAAGGTATTATTGTCCCCAGAAGTTTGTAATTCAGGTTAGCTTCAATGCATATACTCACAGCATGGGGCATGCTTTTCAGCTTTGCAGGAGAAGTTGAAGTTATTGATATTCCAATGCATATCGCTACTCTGCATAAGGGAAGAGCAACTAGTACTCATATGACAGACCAGTATTTGGAAAAGTAAACCGGATGCAGGACAAAATTATTTTGATTTTTAATTTTTGTTTAATACAAATGATGTATATTTTAATTTTAAATTTTAGGGTTTATTTTTAGGGATTTAATTTTTTTTACATATTCTAAGGTTTTTTTATATTTTTAGGATTTAGGAGTTTTAAGGAACTACTTGTGGTATCAGGTGTAGAAATGTCACAACGAATTTTGTTTTAATTAGGGCCCTATTTCAATTACAATTAGGATTTCTTGGGATCTAAAGGAGGTCTTTTATTATAGATAGAGGTCTATGTGAAGAATTTAGAAAATCAGCAACTTGAAATGACATACACACTTCTAACTATCTAATTCAGCCCCAAAATGTCAAATTTTCATTAATGGAAAAAATGGACCGGTTACATATGCTTTGGGAATGAAAATCAGATAGGAGTAAGAAATACAGCAAAAGCAGATTCTTATTCGGAATAAGTACACAATTGTAGAAGACTAAATCCTTGTCGAAGACTCAAAACGGCAAGAAAAATTATGCAAAAGTAAAAACATTTCTCAAAATTCACCATGAATCTCCAATATAAATCTCTTCTTTAGAAGAAGAGCTGCACAATGTCTCTCAAGAGTGATGAATGTCCCACATTGATTGTGGACTCATCCTTGTGCAAAAGCTGAATGCATTTGAATTACCATCATATCATCATACCCAGATCATGACCTTAATAGAAAAGGCCTCAATGCATTTGAATTATTGAAATATAAACCAACGTATCACCTGTTCCAGAAAAATGACTGTCTGAAATGCCTTCCAGTTTGGAATAAGGTTAGCATCCTGAGACAAGCACATATGATTAAATGCTTTAGAAGAAACATCACAAAGAAATTAAATTCAATTCTTTCCACATTAAGTAACAGAACTACATTACTGATAAATATCTCAAATAAAAAGTGCACCTTGTACTTCTCCTTGATCTCATTAACAGAAAACTTTATTTCCAACTCTGAATCCTGGAAAATCTCAGACAGCCAAAGATTTTGTGCCAAACTATTAGTGAGCAGTCAATGGTTGTGCTGATAAAAACCTACAGAGCATAAATATGAGCAGATAGAACAATCACTGACTACATGCAGGTATAGCAAGACTGATACAATAATTCATCTATCCACATTAAGAGGCCAATAGGCAACTATGTCCAAAAAGAACAAACATCTGAGAAGCAAGAGAAACACCTATAAAAGGAGTTTCATAGAGTGCATTGCAAAGTAAGCAAATTGAGACAAGTGGAGCATGTGTTGATCTCAAGTGAATCTGAGGCCATGTCCCATATATGCAACCCCACATGTACATGTTAATATACAGGTAGTATGCAACCCTTCTGTTGCAAATTTCAACCAAGGAAGAGGCCATTGCTCAGATATGGGATAACTGGCTGAGAGAAAGAGAGCACTTGCATTCTAAGAGAAAGGACAGAAATAGCTAGCTCTTTTATTCTACCTTAATGTTTTCTCAATAATCCTGGATAAAAAATATAATGGAATCTTTGGCAATTCCCTGAAGAATCTGAGAGGATTCCACCATCACTTGCGTGGGTTCCAACATTGTTCACATGCCAATTACTAGTTTCACTTTCCAATTAATATTTTTTTGTATTTCACTAATTATTTGGATTATCTATTTTTTCATAAACATTACTAAAAATATATTCAGATGTTTTTGTGTCAATAAAAATTGATGAGTTTGTCAGAGTCTTGTTTTTTTTTTTTATAGAAATTAACTTAACATTAAATAAAATAATATAAATGAGTTTTGTCGATACTGTGAGGCCACCAGGCATGTCCTCAACAGCATCGGTGTCCCTGAGAGGAGGACCTGACCTGCAAAGACTTACACTACAAAGACTTACACAACAGCAGAGGGGGCTTACAACAGAGGGGGGGGGACTTATATATATGCCCAAGTACAAAAGCGGACAAAAGGATAGTTTAGAGTTTTGGCCCTATTCGCGCACTATAACAAAAGTAGAGAAAAGAGGACAACAGAAAAAGGTTAGGGCTTATAATGATGCCCTTTTACACTGATTATCTACAGATAAACATCCTGTTAGATATGTTTAGCGAGTGCGTCTACGGTGGCGTTTGCGGTTCTTCGAGTGTGCCTCCAAGTGACTTCCAAGTCCCTGCATAAGTGATCGATCTCATCAAATAAATGGCCCAAGTACCAAGGTGGGCCTCTTTTACCAGAACCCCACCTTATGATGTTTTTGGCATCTCCTTCAATCTGTAAGATTCTACCCCAAGAATGGTTAAAGAGCTTGATTCCAGTTAGCAAGGCCAAGGCTTCTGCTGTTTGCAAGCCTTTAGTTCCTATGTATTCTGAGAAGGTGAGAAGGACTCCTCCTCCATGATTTTTATACACTCCCCCGATGCCTGCCGGACCAGGATTTCCAAAGGAGCATCCATCAAAGTTAAGCTTTATATGGCCCTATGAGGGAGGAATCCATCGAGGGGTATTTATGCTCCTGTGATGACTAAGATAAAGAAGGTTATCCCAATCTCGAATAAAGGAGGAGACCCAGAAAATAACAGAGGATGTTATTTTTTGGAACAGGGTCTGGATAGTGTTCTTATCCCCTTGAAAGATCCTAGAGTTTCTTTCCCTCGAAATATGCCAGAGGGTAGCAGCTAGTGAGGCTTTCCAAAGAATTTTCCCCGATTTCCTCATTGGACAACCAGGGACTGGATTGAAGGTGGAAGCACCCACGCGAGCCTGAAAAGCTGAATTAGTAGACTCCAAACTGCGTAAGCAAACTCGCAATGTAATAACCCTAGATAACAAACAAGTTTGTGAGAGTCCTGTTAAACTGATAATCATAGTCATGCCGTTCCCTACATATTACCCTAGAGGACCCAAGGGCATATTTATAAGGGACCTAAACGCAACTCTTCAAGCAGTGACTCTCTCCCATGTGAAACAGTAATGCCACACAAAGTTGCCGCCATCTCCACCAAAGCATGCTCAGAAATCGTGTCATGAAAACTGTGACTCTTTTCTTCCCTTCCCCACCAAGTATCGAGCCTTCCCATATCAAATAAACGCCACCTTATAACCACACAAAATATCTGAACTCAAAGAAATTACAATTTCCATTAGGCAATTAGAGAAACTTTTAAGGGTTTATTAACATTAAGTTGGAATTTAAGTTGCAGTCTAACTGCATAAAGCAGATACAACCCACTTGTAGTCAACTGTAGACATATAAAAATAGTTAGGAAAACCAGTTTCAATCAGTTCTGCTAAAATAAATAAATATAAATAAAAAATAAAATAAATAAAAATAAAAAACCATATGTTTTTGTGACTTGAAATAAGCTCAACTAAATGAAATATGTGGAATACAGACTGGATGTCAACCCACTTTCGTTGACAAACAGTTTTTTTATGCCCTTCATCAGAATCAGTGTAAAAAACTTTTGGGTACCTCGCTGCCTAGGGAATCGAGTTATGGATAGGCGGCAGCCTAAGAAGTTCTACCAAAGAGGTGCCCGCTTTTTGGGCCACGGCAAGCAACTAGAAACCAAGATGGCTCTCAATGCCCCATGGCCGAGGGCGGAAAATGGCCCTCGGAGGGGGCATTTTTAGCCATTTTTTACCCCTAAAAAGGGGGGACAAGGGTTTTGGAGGGCATTCTAACCCCCCCCCCCACCAAAAAAAATTCTCTTTGCTTGGTTTTCGAGAGAGGACCCAAATCAAAATCAAATTTTACACGATTTAGTGAAATTGAACAAAAATTCAAACCTAACAATACCTTGCAGAATCAAAAAACTGTACAATCCAATTGTTTGTGAGACTTGAAGAGGAGGCAAATGAGGTATTTCAGCAACCAAAGCAGATCGATTCAAGCCAACAATGATCATGTATCCAAAGGTTGATGTATTTCAAATTTTTGGTTTAGGGTTTGGTGATATTTCTTTTATATTGGGTTTTGATTTTTTTTTTCTGAATATTGATTTTTGTTGTTGTGCTTCTTCTTCAAGTTGTTTCACAATTTTGGCCCTTATTCGTAAGCAACTATAGCTTTGAATTTATTAACATTTTAATAAAATAGGGTTACCCAATCTTAATGAGATGACAATAAACTCAGGCATCCTAAGACTTGTTTCTACTTTTCTAAGATTAGTAATTTAATATTGGTGTGGCCTCAGTGACTTTTTAAATTTTTTGTGTTTTCTAGTTCTGATCTTATAAACTACTAAATTTTTTCTAGGTTAGGCACTGCATTCAATAATGGAGTTGTATCAATAGCATTCTACTCTAAATACTTGAGTTTCGAGAATTACTAATAATTGAGATGCTCCATTCAGTAGTTTTAAATTTAACAAATATTATTTCTTAATATTTGGTTTGGGTTCGGTGGCTTTTTTCAATGTTTGAGTAATTGGGTTTTTTGTCTTATGATTTTATCTAGTATTCATTTTGTACATTGCTAATATTTTCTAGGTTGGGTACTTGGGCTACTATATTCAATACCTCACGTTCGTTTTCTTAGCCACATTTTTGAGATTTGGTTACTTTGTTCAATACTAGAGTTTGATTTGTTGCATTCTAGACTTTAAGTAAATGTAGTCAAGAACGGGTTTTAGCAATTTTATGCATTTTCCAGGTTTTAGGGGTTGTTTGTTGAGTAGATCATGATTGATCCAGGTTGGAAATACACAAGGTTGCCTAATCAAAATGATAAGAATAAGGTGCAAAGCAGATTTTGTAATGGGATTTGCAATACTTGTTTAAATCCACTGAAGAAACATTTAGCCGGCAATAGAGGGATGCAGCCCCGTGCCAAGGGATACCTCTTGAAGTTAGGAGAGAGATGGTGGCCCATTTGGGGGCAACCCAAAAGAAGAAACAAGATAAGAAGAAAAAGTCTGAAGATATCCTAAGATCAATATATTTTAATGGAGTGAATGAAGAAGAAGCTATATATGAGGTAGAGGAGCATGTGAGCTTTAGTTTTGAGCATAGGGGGTTTGGGCAAAAGAGGCTAAAAGTAAAGGGGCCTATAAATTCTACAAATAATCATTTTAAGAAAGAACATAAGGAGTCGGGTATGTTACTACATAGCCTAATCGATGTACTAAGCAGGCATATCATTTAGTGTCTCTAGCTTAAAGATCTTCCAAAGCATGTTGGAAGCAGTGAAGTACTTTAGGCCAGGGTTGAAGGCCCCCACAACTTACGACCTCAAGGAGACCATATTCAAGAAGAGGAGGTGGAGCTCACAAATAAATAATTGAAGACCCTTATGTGGGGGAAGTATGATGTCTCAAGAATGACACATGAATCAATAGGAGGCAAGAAGTAGTTGTCCAATGGAGAGACTCTTTTGAACGTCTGACATATCTGATAAGATTCAACATGCAAAGTTCATTTTTTATTTAGTAGATCAATTTGTAAACGAGGTTTGACAGAAGCATGTGATTCAAGTCATTACTAACATAGTTACAGCCAATAGGGTGGTTGCTAATCTGCTGTTGACAAAGAGGCCACACATTTTTCGTCAACCTGAGCGCATTGCATTGACCTCATGCTTGAGGCAACAAGCAAGTTGAAAGAGGTGCACATAGCACTAAAGCAAGCAATAGTCATCACAATTTTTATATACAACACCACACAAGTCATGGCAATGATGAGGAGATTCACAGAAAAGAGGGATTCGGTAAGCTTTAAGGTGAACTAGATTTGCTATTTCATATATCTTTGCAGCCTATATAGGAGAAGAAAGACAAGCTCAGGGCCATGTTTGTATTTGAAGAATGGACAAAAAGCAAGTGACCCAGGTATGAAAAGGGAAAAATTGTGATTAACATTGTTTATCAACCTCATATTTGGAATGGGGTTGCCCACTCCCTCCAAGCTTTTGACCTGTTGGTGAAAATATTGTGCCTAGTGGACAGTGAGAAGGAAATACCAATGGGTCGTCACATTTACAGGGCAATACAGGTCGGCAAGG